TCGGCCTCAACGCGCTCATTCATTGGCTCCTCGGCTCGACTATTCTATATGAATCAGCGCGCCAATTATGCATTTCTCCCCATGTTTCCTCTGCTGGGCTTTGTCATAAGCCTTAAAGATGTAACGAAACACGAGGCTGTGGCCAGATCCGCGGCACTTTTTCACCACTGTTCTCAACTTTTCAGGAACTTTAGGCTGTGTTTACATTCATGGGCCACTCGTTTAAACATGTTAAATGAAAATAGAATAAAAGAGAGCGTTTAAAATTCGCATTTAGTGAACGTCCTGCTAACTTTTAATCGCCTTATAATTTGTTTCAAGTTTCAACTCCCCAAAAGTTTCTTAATAACTTCCCCCTGAGTGGTTAGATGCATATATTCCTTCTGTATGGACCAATATAAGGGATTTATTAAACCTGGGCGCTTTCCGCTGGCCTAGTTAGGCTCATACAATTTTTTATAACCTAGTTTATTTGGCTTTAATGATTTCCACTGCAAATGAAATAACGAAACGCACACGCAGGAACTCAGTGTGAATGTGCCCTGGCTGCAGGATACCGCCTCACAGATGCTATATTTGCGGATTAAACGTATGGAGAAGGCAGTCATGTGAGCGCTCGCCGCTTTTTTTTGTCAGTTTAAATGAACTGATGCATGGCTGCAGCCTGTCTGCGTGTGTGGCTGCAGGCTCTGCAGGAAGAGTGAATGTATCGCTGAGGAATGTACAGAAAGTCACCCCGCCCCCAGTTTCAGGACTCCTCGGCTATGGACAAATTCCATAGGGGGCCAACTGACATAAAGTTTCAGACTAGACTGCATCCTATGTGGGAAGATTTGCTGCGGTTAATGTCAGTGCAGGAAAAAGAACTGACACAATCGATCTGGTTAAACATAGTCTGGGATATTTCTAGAGAGGGAGAGAGAGAAAGGGAGAGGAGAGGGGAGGTAGATTGTTTAAGTAAAACGCAGCTTATAGCCCAACTTTGAGCTGCTGGCCTCACTCCAAGATGTAGATAGTCTACGTCGCCAAGCGCAAGGCTCTTTTTACAAACCCCTTTAGGCTACACTGAATCAAGGGATACTGTTTTCCGGGTGAGATTGCTTTATTTTTTTATTTGTTGTAAGGCGATTCAAATCTTTTAACAATGTTTTCTTTCCACTTGAGTTGTAACCATTAAATCCACTGGCTGACCGCTTCGGACAGAGTCAGGGAACACTGTGCTGAACGCCATGTTGAGGAGAATCTAGAGCCTCACAGTAACATTAACTGATGGGAACACTATCCTTATCGATGTTAATGCAAGCCTTTTATTTTTTTTAAATCCAGACATATGTTTTCTGTTTACATCAAGGGGTTACATGCAGGCTCCACAAATCCCCCAAAATGATGTTTTTTCTCCACTGATTCTCCTATGGGGTGACACCTTTCATCTCATTAGAAAATGGCGGTTTGTGCCCCTTCAAAACACATCATGCCAAGGAACATTTTCTTTTTTAACAGTAAATCACGAGTTAATGCTCACTGGTGAAATGTGGAAATGGTAAATATATTCAAGCTAATATCTGTGTTATTTTTAAAAGAATAATAGCAGTAAAGAAACATGTGGCTTTTCTCGTTTTCTCGTCACTTACACTTTTTTTTTTTTTTCAAACAAAAGCCAAATCCTGGAAATTAGTATGTAAAAGTGAACTCAATCTGCACCAACAGTTCCACTAAAGATTCTATAAATGTGAGGGTATTTTTTAAGGAAATAATTGGTTATCTTGTTTTGTTAAAAACAACTTGAAAAGTTATTTATAGCAGCCAAACACAGCTACCGTCATACTATTGTTTTGTTTCACAAGTGGCAACAACTATCTCTACGTTTTTAATGAAATATTTGTTTGATAGCAGGTCATTTGGTTGAAATTCTGCACACAATGCCTTTCACACTCTGCATAGTGTGTGACAGAAATAGCTTGAAATTCTTATTTATTTTTATTTTTCCTTATTTCAACAAAACTATAGATTTTTTGTAATAAACATCTGTTGATTGTTGTATTTTTTGTGAACTTAAGATGGGTGCTTTTTTGTGGTTGTTGCTGAGCATTTGATCAGATTAACACCACATGTTCATCCAGCACAAAAGTCTGATGAAAGTGGGTGTTTTCACGCACATGCATATTTGCAGAGTTTGTCATACATTGCTAGCTATACTGTATGGCCATGCTTTGGCATGTAGCTTTGTCTCTCTTATAGGAATACTTCCCTTCTGGCTGCTGTTGTTTACTGGTTTCAGCACCCTGATTGATTAGTTGCACTGTGATTTGGTGTTGAGAAAATGTCTTTGAAACCACTCAAAAGCAATCAATTTCTTCAATATCTTCTTGTCTAAAAGAAGAGAGACACATGTTGGGCTTCAAGTTTTCACACTTGTAATTTTAGATTATATTATGTTCATTGCAAAATAAAGTGCATAGTTTGTTGAATCTGGATCAGAATACACTGTATATTCTCTCAGGTGGCAAAGCAAATTCGTGTTTAAAAATATAGCTGTTATTTACTGTATGTTAATATTGACTTGAGGTAAAAGTATTGGAGGTAATCATCCACCCCCTTGATGATTTTGGTAATTAATTTCAGTACAGAAATACACAGTATTTGGTGCGGATTTAACAGGGTTTTTGAACCACAAACATTTTCAAATATATAATAGTGTTTCAACTTCTCCATTGTCCAATTCTCACTTGTATTAAAATCTGAGATGAGCATATATGCAAACCACTGATCCCAAGTTTCAAACAGTTTTAAATTGATAATGAAATATTTTATTATGTTGATATAAACTAGCCTACAGTTGGAAAAGAAAAACAATAAAAACACATTTATGGCACAGTAAAGAACTGTTTGTTAGTTGAATTTGGTCACATTTATTTAAGATATAAACAGATAAATGCATTCAACCGCTAAAAATGTCATTTCCAGAAAACATCTTCCACTGAGCAAGATCAAAAACTTTAGATAAACCTTAAAATAAAATGATAAAAAAGGGTCAGATTACCTTTCTTTCGGACATCTGTATCGTCAATGTCCCTGACTGATAAGTAAGATAACCAGCATGTTCTGGTGGAATAGCAAACAGTTGTTAATGTTTGTTGTTCCAAGTTGAGCCTCATATTTACTGCTCAGACATAAAGAACTCAAGAGGTGGGGAACTGAAGCTTTCACCCCCCACCAGCCATCCTGTGTTCAAACCATATAGAAAACATGAACATGCTGTTGCCTGTTAACCTTCAGACATAATCCTGTACGTTAGGAGTGCTAAGTTTTATTCTGTATCACAAATACATGATGTAAAAGCTACATGTTTGGTTCTGTATTATTAAACCTCTATAGTACAACTTCATGATAAAGCTGATGATAAACTGAGAACATTTGTAGTAGTATTATATAATCAGAATGCACTGTTTGTCTAGAGTGCAACATTGATTTCATCTTTTCTTTTTTGTGAAATAGGCGTGGACTGCTTCTTCCAAGCAAATAGTTTAAATTACTCTTGATATTCTCCTCTCTCTGAACCAGAAAATAACGTATGTGTGTCTATCTTTTTTGAATATTTGTGCTGAGGTTCTATAGGTGAGAAGTGGCTGCATTGAATCCCATTATTGTGAAACTACCCATCTACCCATTCTGTCCCCTACTGGTCAACCTGTTGGTAGATGTCCCCCTGCCATGACACCTGTGAAATTGTGCAATTTCAGTGAAGAAAAATAAATTCATATATCACCACACAACCTCCCGTGTAACCATAAAATCAAGTGAACTGTCTGTATTTTCTTTAATCTGCACCTGTTCTCTACCATGTAAAACTGCTATGAAGAGGCTGCACTAGACTATGAATTAGTGGACAATAAATATTCTTTTGATTGACTTATTTTATTACACAACCTACACAAGAAAACTGTGTGAAGGAAAAGCAGCGACTATAGTTCACTTACTGCTAAAATCTAAGGTGAAAATTAGCACAAACCTATACAATAGACATGTGACTATGGCTTTGAGTGCTGAATCTTAATTGAGAAAGACTTCATACTCTGACCCTTGTAGCCTTCCAGTTGGTGGTTACCTTGGAACCTTCAGAATTACCTTTGAGTCAGTGTGAATGAACGCAGAGCTCCGAGGGGCCCCATGACATGTCAGCAGTGATTATTAACCCCATTTGAATGAAATATCTTATTGGGGCTAAGGTCTACAGATAAAGAGCCCTCCATTCTTTCAGGTTTACTTTTATGATTAGCCACTCGGTTTCAAGACGTTGTTTGTCCCAGCCGAGTCAAATATCTAAACCTGTATCTTACTTGGGATCATGTTGTGTTGATGCAATTTGTTTTCTTTCATGCAGGAAAATGTGATTGGTTTTATGCAGAACACAGTTTGCCATCTTCTATCATTGTTTTATAATGTAAAGCAGACATTTGGTTACTTTAAGTAAGAAAATGTAATATCATAGTTAAGATGAGGTAGATTAGTCACATGAAAGTGAAGATGTTACTACATTTTTATGTGCACCATAGTAACTCATTTTAGGTACAACCCCTTTTGTTGTAACTGAATGTTCTGACAAACATGTCTCTGAACAATGTACAGTCACAGAATACTCCGTCCGAATAAGTCTATTTTCTCACATGTGAACTTTGTATCTTATGTAATGAGCCACCCAATAAAAGCTTGGTAGAAGTCCTTCTTTGCATGTTTTCATTGGTGTAACCTGAATGAGAGAAAAACTACACTTATGGAGAATCTATTGTGGTTTCAAAGAGTGGCTCCAGATCAACTACTTTAAATTTGTGCAAACATAAAACTTCTCATGCACAACATCTTGGCACTGGTCTCATTCTGTGAAACTCTCCCAGCTTGTTTTCCCACCTCACCCACTCAACTTAAAGTATTAACTCCCACCTATACAACTAAAACTCAACTTTAATTTCATGCACATTAAGTCAGAAAAACACATTACAAACTTTGGAGTTTTCAAATATTTGTATTTCGATACAAAGAAACAACAATAAAAAATGTAATACATGATAATAAAACTCTCTGGAGAAACTCAAATGATGACTCCCTTGACTAAAAAACCCCAAAACCAAACCAAAAAAGAAACAAAAACAGACAAGAGGCCCTGTTTACACCTGGCATTAACATGTGCCTTGGGTCATCCAATCACAAGTGGACACCTAAGTACAGGTGTGAATGCACCCAAAACACATTGAGGACACATTAAGATTCGGCCACACGCCCAGACCACATTTGGAGGTGGTCTGGGACCGCCTATGGCCACATTTTTATTTTAGCAATACGTACGTAAATGTTTCCTGGGCTACACTGCAGGACTGTCTACTGAACTGACATTCTCTGCGTAAGCGGAAGTACATATTCATTCGCATGCCAATGGCGTCATATTAGAGTGAGAAAAGCCACAACAGGCAAAATGGATTCTTGTGGACGGAGTACACATAAAACACACTGTCTGATTTACATTAGGGCCAAAGAGTCAGTACAAAGAACAAAACAAGTCTTGGCAAACTTCCTGCAGACTAGGCACAGGAAGTGCTTTACTGCCTCCCACTGGCTGAAACAACACATTTCATTATTGCAAACTCAAATGATGTACGCGTTTATTTACATATAGAGCGGGAAAGGGAGATCCGATCACAAGTGGTCCCTCAAGACGTATTTGTAAAGCCAGGAGTGAACTGGCGTACCTGGAGCTGTCCACTTGTGATTAGATCACCCAAGATGCATGTTAATGCCAGGTGTCAATAGGGCCTGAATGTGAGCAGAGAGCCAACCACTGATTGCTGGGAACACTTCTTTTTACAGCCCACTTTACCTGCTACTTACCAGTAAACTCAGTAAGTGCAAGGTAGCATTGAGATTAATCTGTTATCTTTACTGTACAAACAGAGCGTGTATTCCTATGTATTTAATACAGGTTGTAAAATTAAGTGTCACCATCACTTACTAAAACCCAGTTATTTCCCCAAGATTACAAGGGCCATGTTTACATTGATCAGTGCAATAAATTTCAAAAACCATCACTTAATAGGAAAAAAGGTATCATTGCTGCAGAAAATGAAGAAGAAAGGAAGGTAGTCCAAGAATGAGAAACAGTGACCAACAGCTGAGTTCTTTGCTCACACTCAACATCTGCAACACAGATGCGTCAAAACGTCTAAAAATTAAGACATCTATTGCATGTAAACAGGAACTATCTCAAACTTAAGAGTTCTGTTGATATAGTCATGCTAATTCAAAATGTTCCCCTCAGAAACACCTCGATGAATCACACACCCATCAATTATTGGAGGGAAGCTGAACGTCGGAAGAAGCAACTTAGTATCGCCCTGCAAAATGAAAATGACATTCCTGTTAGTCCAGTTATTACATTACATTGAAGTTAGTAAATTACTCATTAAACAAATCTGTTTTTACCAGTGATCAAGGTACATAAATAGTTCAAATATGCATATTAACAGCAGTCTGATTTCATGTCTGAAGATGATACAATAGATACAGTTAGGCAAGCTTTCTATTGTATGCATTTCTCTTCACACTTACGTGGGCTGTAGGAGCGAGACCGTGAGCGAGACCTGTATCGACTGTAGTAGGGTGATGGAGAGCGCCTGCGACTGCAAAGAGACAAAGAAAATGTAATACTTTTTCTCCCATGTAACAGTGTAACATTGGCTTGAACTCACAAATTATTACTCACCTGTACCTATAGTCGTACTCGTCATATCTGTCATAGCGGTCGTAGCCACCACGGTCATAGTATGAGTCTCTCCCCCTCCTGCTGCTACCACTGCCACTGCCGCCACTACCACCGCCGCCGCCGCCGCCGCCACCACCACCACCGCCACCACCCCCATTGCTGTTGAAATAAGAAAAACAAGGCCATGACTTCCAGACGTCTTATCTCTTGAAAAACACAACACCATGTCAAAACTGATATAAATTGTTACAAATCACGCATGCATTTCAAGAAAGATGGTTTTAGATACCAAATTATGAGCAAGCTCTGACATCAGAACATTATGCCATCCCAATTTTTGCTACTCACAATGGCTCAAATGTGCATTTGTGCTTCTTAGGGACTTCAGTCCAATGTCAAACAACAGGTTAAGGTCACTCATATGCAGGATTTTACATTTGTGTTGATCTTACTGAGTTGGTCGGCCCATGTAGATTCCTGGTGTGGGGGTATGGGGACGTTTGGTGATGGAGTAATCCACTCTGATGCGCCTCCCATCCAGCTCCATGCCATTGGCTCGCTCCATTGCCTAGGGAACACAAGAGGCAGGAGAAGACAAAAGATGTTATCAGACAAATGTAAGTCACAAATGGCCCACCTACATAACATACTGTGAACCCTTGCTACGGGCTGCATGACAAGGTGAGAGAATTTGTGGCAAGGCTGACACCTAGTGGCATACTTATGTCATCACACCTAAATAAAAAAAGTGTGGTTTTGTCTTAAGGAAAATACCTTTGAACCTGCATATACTACAATGAAAACAAAGTGCTAGACAATATGTAGTTGCTAATGACCATACAGTACATAGATGTAGAATTATAGTTTTAAAAATGACACTTTATAACACTACTCTTGACTCCTAGAATCGACAGCCATGCAAATTTTCATATCCATCTAATTAGTCACTATTTTACACCTTAAACACCACATGAATGGAATTAACTGCATCAAACGACAGAAAACAGATGAGTCCCTGGGACCAGAACATAAGATCATCGGCTTTCTGACCAATAAACAAAACCACAAACATTTCAAATACCTCTTTGGAATCCTCAATTCTCTCGAAGTAAACAAAGGCAAAGCCACGGGAACGACCCGTGCGCTGGTCGTACACCACGTTGACCCCTGCCAGAGGACCATAGCGTGAAAACACCTCCCTCAGGTCACGTTCTGTGGTGTACAGGCTCAAGCCAAACACCCCCAGACATGTGCTGGGATCAGGGTTCGCCTAGAAGGGTCAATAATACGGGTTAGAGTTTATCCATCTTACACTTTGCATAAAAAATCCATTTACTGGATTTATTATGCTTCTTCATACTCACAAAAGCATTTTGTATGTTAAATGCACTGGGCACATAGAACTACATCGTTCCAAAAATATCATGGATTCATTCATTTAGTTTTGATTGTTGTTAATTAACTTTTACTATTAGTAACTATTACTAGCTGCTGTTTACGGAGGAGGTACTACTCCAACTACAGTAGATACTTTCTCTTACATTACTAGCTTACAACTAAGGCAGTTGCTACTAAAAGATAAGAATCTATGTACATTTTTACAGAGTAACAAAACCATTCTCTTCAAGCATCTCCAGTTGTACCGATCCAACAGTAAATGCTCAGTGGGTAAACTTTGACAGCTTTAATAACCCCTTAAAGAGCTTTCAAAAAAGATGCCCCTGGGACAATTATACGTAATACAAAACCCATTTCATCTGCCTCCTTTGCTTGCTTTGAAAATCTCACATAATTCCTGCTTTGCATGATCACAAGGAGCTCTTAAAGCAGCAGTGCACTATAAACACTATTGACATTACAAAAACTGAGGTCTAACATGGTGCTGAAAGAAAAACCGATCTAAAAGTACCTGCCCTGATTTATGACTAAACAGCAATGTCTCCCAATGTAAAATGAGTGGAAAACATGCCTTATTTAGCATTTTCCATTTCATCAAAAACATTCACGGCTCCCTTGCTAATATCACATTGTTACAGTAAAGTTCAAGAATGCATTAAGAAGTATACATATATTACTTTAACTATACATATTTTTCTAGTTGTTATAATAAAACAGAGATATATCACATTATAACTAAGAACACCTGAAATCATGCAGATATTATATTTAAGTGATAAAATGTACATGTTAAGTTGGCCAATGCCCACTTTGAACCAGTGTTACAAAATATACTTTAATTCAGAAGGTGATTTAATGCACCTTGAAGATATCACTGTAATATGCCATTTTGGTTGCAAACAAGCCCCACTGTCTAAATATACTATGCAAAGTTCTATTTGATTTCCACTAAGTTATATTTACCGTTTAGCCCCAATCAAGTTTTTGACCCACATACAAACAGTACATTGCTCTTGCCCAAAATATGTTAAGGTCCACATACCCTAACATCAGCATCACCACCACCACCACCACCATGACTGTATGCTTCTTTTGTCAAGTCATGGCTCTGTTGATATAATGAAAGGAGGGGAAGGTTAATAAAAAGGGGTTATTAAATGTCAGTTTAAAGTGGTTTCCCACAGCATTAACCACAAACATCAGAACAATTACACTTCCTCACAAGTAAGAATAAGCAATTCACTTGCTCCTGACTTTAAAACAAGTGTTACTGAATCGTATAATGCTTGCAATTATGTCTTTAATGATCCAACTCGAATCTACATCAAAACATTTTATACAGTGTTTAACACATTTAAGTCAGTTTACTTGCTATAGCCACTGTGATTTGCCTAAATACAAAGAAAGCATGCTGAAATAACGAGATATTAAAAAGAAAACAGTTTTGAGGAGATCAGCATGATCATTGTGAAAGCATGTAGCAGCTTTAAGTTTGTCTTCTTACAGGTAGACAAAGGTCGTACAGTATGTGCCCATGTCCTCACTTATCACAGTCTAGACGCCAGTCTCCCCAAAATTCTAAATGTGTTCAAAATTTCAGTACTGACACCATATCAATGGGTGCGTACATACACAAAGTGTCTCCTTCTGTAGCCTGCTGAACTTTGCCCCATCTTCAGATCTCACACTCACCCTGCTGCCAGTGTTACGGCGCCTGTTTGACATAGGGGAAGCACTCTGGCTCCTCCTGCGGCGGTATTCAGGGCTGTAGGAACGAGAGCGGGACTTCCTCCGGTGGGAGTAGGACCGAGAGCGTGAACGGCTATGGCGGCGGTTTGAGTGCCGCCTAGAACGAGACCTGAAAAGGATACAGGAGAAGAGAAGAGGCAATCAATTCACTGGTACACAACTAATGAAAAGTCTGAGATGATAGTGACAGAAAAGGAAGGCTTCAAAGCACAGAGTGACACATTTCAGCCCCTAATGAGCGTTTATTTGTTCCTAATATGATGGGACCACAATATCAAAAAGGCTATTAGAAAATGGATAAAATGGCTACGACATACCTAGATTTTGACCGAGAGCGGGATCTGGACTCGGAGCGTTTGGAGGCCCGGGATGGGCTCGGGGTGCCGGACCTGCTCTCCGACTTGACCCGAGCTGGACTCTCGCGATCCGATTTAGATGGGGAGCGTGACCCCTATTGCCACAGCAGCACGTTAACAACTTTCTCATGGACAAATGCATTTATTTCTTTACACAGAAACACAATCAATAGTGATATGTGGTAGAGTATGTTGGACACATACAGTACACCTGTCTAAAATGCACAGCTTATGTACTGTGGAGGAAAGGGTTAGTAAGCTTATCATTTCAATAAGTAAGTCTTTGGTTTACAATATGTCCTATTATTAAGCATGTAAATCAAATGTATATAACAGGTCTATTTCCATGTCCACCTGGGCCATCAAGGGAAAAAATGAAACATGCATTTTCATGTTACATAAAAGGAGCATGTATAGAAAGACATTTGTGACACAAACAGTATATTTACTTAACCTACGGACACATTCATTCTTCCAGATTCTTTACACGCTACTCCCTTCTCTCAGGATTTCTATCGTTCTTCATTCTTCTTTTTTCAGTTTTCTCATTTTCTGATTCCGGGTCTGTTTTTCCTCTCTTCACCCAAACTGAAACCAGTTTCATTTTAGCCATTACACTGCAAGCGCTTCTATCTGACACCATTCTTCCGTCACATTTCCTCCCTTTCCACTTCTATGTTCTGCTCTGTACATGTTTTCATTAGCCTTCTTTTATCTTGAAAATTTTCTTCAGCATTCTTGGATAAAACTCTTCAAATCCTTCACGATCAATAACCTTAATGAAAAAAGAACATTTAATAAAATTAAGATCATAGGTTTAAAAAAAAAAAAAAAAAGTAGAATATTTTATATGAAATGAAAAGGAACACTGAATGCAGTACAATTACATTGTTGCTACATAAAGTTTTAATATTCCCCAAAAATTACGTGAATGAGCAAAGTTACAGTTTAAGCTACATGATTACAAGTAAAAGAAATTAAGTATAAGTTGTAGCAATGTTTCAATTTGCAAAATAAGAGCGTGAAAGCAGGGAAGGAAGAGAGGCTTAGGACTTAAGTTACCTTTAAGCTAAATCAGGAAAAACAAAAGGTTGTCAAAGTGCAACAATGGCTGCAGCACTAACCGTGATATCCGCACAAAGAACGATATACAAACGTCGGAGATAGTTCGTAATTAATTAAGGGAGTCATCGGGTGTAATGCAATTACCTGATAACGCAAACAATAGCACGAATCGCGAATATTACGGTCTGTCGCGGGTGATTTTCTAAAGCTAGTTGCCGTAAGAGGAGTTTGGTTGAGGCAGACTCGCTAGCAGAGCGGGAAACGTTCGTGCACCAAAATACTTTGAAGATTGTTGGGTTGAGGCAAAACCAAAAACAACAAACAAAAAAAAACACACTTCTCTGCCTTTCGCACACAGAAAGTAACGTTACACAACAAAGCATCAGCCAACGTCGTCGTCCAGCTCTTAATTTAGCGTTGGCTCAAATGTAGCCCTTTACGTTACAGTCGCTGGCGTTAGCGGTGAACTACGGTGTTCTCTATCGGCAGACACACGGAAGGAAAAGAAAGAAAGGGAGATATCTGGTTTCATTCAGTGGAACTACTTACCCGTCGGTCGTAATTTCCATCCTCAATGTCACTCATTGTTCAGTACAGCTAGTACAACCGAGTATTTTTGTCAGAAATAAACTGCACTGAGGTTTTACTGTGCGTTATTCTGGCCGGCTACTAGCTAGAAGATGGCGCGTGAGGTGGTGGGTGGTATCTGGTATGTTTACGTACTGCAGAATCTGATGTCATATCCGGTCTCGTCTCCCACCGCCCCTTTAATGCAAAAACTTGGCGTACTTGAACGTCTCATAAAACACCCTGAACACTCGTGTTATCAGAAGCGGAAGGAAATGTTGATCTTTTAAGTAAAAAAAACCAAAAACCAATACCACGAGATAAAAATCACTTAAGTTCTGCATTAAAAATCTTAAAAGGTAAAACTATTGTACACATTATGGATAATGCCTGCATTGATTGTTATAGTTACCATAATCATGCATGTTATTGAAATAATCATTTGAATGTTGAAGCTGGTTGAGATGGAGCTTATTTTACTTCACATACTGTCTGGTAGCTCAGTCTGCAGGAATGGATTATATTTTATAAGCTGCCAATTTTTTATGTAATGTAATGTAAAATCCTTACCTCCATTTTTTCCATTTTGTGAGACACATGATGTAAACTCTCCTAAATGACACTAGGCATGTTTTATTACACATATTTAATGTGTAGGAATGAAGTGGTGGATCCGATATAAAATGGATTTAAAATGGGGGGGGGGGTCATTTTTTCACAAGGTCGATTTATTAGTAAAGCTATCTCACAGCATCTGACTGGCTCACAATCTTTTCTACTTTAGCATTATGAAGCAAAGTACATTTATGGCATCACTCAGTGTTGACACTCGAACCACAATTTAATCATTCAATCTGGTGGCCTTCACCCACCGTTAAGCTTGTAATGTGCAACATTATGAAGCAGTTTTTTTTCTTCATATTTTAATATGCCACCCACAGTAACTTTGTCTCATACAATCCCAGTATTGCCTTTCTTTCTTGCAGCAGAAAGTCACCATGTTAATGAGCATCATGATGAGCAAATTAAAGCAGGGTGAGGTGTTTCTGAGTTGCTCAGTATTATAGAAACCACACTCAGGGCCAGCAGAAAGGCTGGAAGAATGAAAATTACAGGACCTGATGTCCACCCCTCTAAGATATTCTTACAGTCAAGGTAGGGTGAGTCCAGTATTTTTAGAAAATCTCTATAGAGTCACAGTGCAACATGAACCCTGAACATGTGTAAGCAGTATGTCAGTCATCTCAACAGCAATGCAGGGCTGAAGCCTGACTACACAGTACATTCGATCTGCTCCACACCTACATTAAAACATGTCTCAACACCAGGTGAAGGAGGAACCACTGGATTTCAACAGAGACAAAACACACACACACACGCTCCTGTTTACGGTTGCAATTAGGCATCATCCAATCATATTCTGCATAAAACTCACTGTCTTGCAGCAATTGTGAACACACATTTATACTCCCTTCAGACGGAGTGCAAATAACATTCTTTGGATTATTTGTAACAGGTGAACTATACAGTTTAATTATCCTTAAAACTGTATGTGTACGCTAAACGTAGAATCTTCTTCAGTACAGTATTCCAGCTAAAAACTGAAATGTAGCTATCCCTAAATATCAGCTACTACTGTTTAGTTCAGCATTTTGATATGTTGAAGCAGTATTGTAAATTTTTTTACAATGTAGATAGGGGAGCGTTTTAAGCCATTTTTATGATAAAGCGTATGAGAATCAGGTTCAGTTTCAAGAGTATTTATACCTCTCTGCATCTGTTTTAACAGTCACAAGATTCAAATATGGCATTATAAAAAAAAAGAAGCTAAACTTTAAAACCAAAAAAATCAGCAATGCAAATATTTAAAAAAAATGCTCTGGATAGTGTTGATAAAAAATTAATAAATATCAGCATATGATAGGACAGAGCATGAAGAAGTCTCTTCTTCCCTCTGAGTTGGCTGAACATTTCTGAGAAGCATCCATCTAAGAAGTTTCAGTTTCTGGATGTCCATATGTCTCACTATTGCTTTTCACTTGTCTGGTGTTGTTACAAATGCTGGAAAGTGTGATGTGCTGAAAAGCCAAAAAAAATAAAAAATCCCCCCAAAAAATCAATACTTCTATGAAGACTATGCTCCTTGATGTGGCCGAGGCCTATTAGGGACGTGTGGGTGAAGGCGAGACGTCCCTGGGTGGCTGCCAGGTGTGTCCTGCTTTGAGGATTTCTGTACGGCAGCGGGAGCAGAAGCAAGATCGCCCCCTGCTGTGTGGGAGGTGTTAGTGGAGGAGGCATTGACCACCAACTCGATTTTCCCCTCCAGTTTGACCAGCCGTGTCAGAATGTCATCCAGTAACACAGCTATAGTCCTCTTCAGATCAGCTGTGTGTAAATGAGAGAGGGGAGAGAGACCACAAATCAATGCTTGAGTATGTTTTTTGTTTTTTTTACAACTATAAAACACGCTACGTTCATACAGGAGTAAGCAAGTCATTTGATGTGCAGTAGAGAATAGTATCAGTCCTGACTTCTTCTTAAATTGCTCACCATAACCAGCCATGGAGGTTCCTTGTGGTCCACCTGGTGCATTCTGGTTCTCCTCTGTTAGGACCTTGACGTATCGCCGACTGAGCTCCAGAATCTGCTCACGTAGCTCGGCGCTGCTCTGATGGCGAGGCTGCTGCACAGTGTAGCGCAGCAGCATAAGCCCCCACGCCAGGCCGAATACCAGCAGCAGCACACTCAGCTTCTGGGACATGTTCCTCCGCAGGAGTGTACCCAGCATGGTACTGGGGGTGGCAAGGGGGAGGGGGAGCTGGAGAGGCCCTGTCTGAGGCTGAAGGTCTTTTCTTGGGTGTGGATATACCAGTAACTTAATATACTGATTCTTCCCCCTGATTTCTATACGGAAATTCTCTTTTCCGCTGTCTGTATCCAGAGAGTGGTCAGAGGCCCCTACAAAGCATTCCTAGAGTTAGAGTATGGATTCAGTGCGTCGCTCTAGTCGACTCCAGCAGGACGTGTGCTTGCAACAGCAAAGGCCAGGAAGTGGAACTCGAAGGCAGCTGACGCCCACAGACAACGGCAGTCAGGGTGTTTGAGAGAGGTGCTTTGGTTGTAAGATGTCTAACTTCAAATCATCAATGCAGACTGGGCATTCAGGCAGGGGATCCGCAGACATTGTTGAATATGCTGGAGAAGTATTCTGAGAAAAGATAGAAGAGATAACACAGATAAAATTAACAAAATGAAAGAAACACAATGGAAACATTTCTTCTCGTCAGCTCTTAGAGATTAGTTTATTATGCTTACATTTTCATATTGTGGTGCTGCAATTTCAGAACTTGGGAAGACTCGTTCTACTGTGTACCAAAAAATACTTTGATGGTAGTTTCTGTAGCCAACTGTATGTTAATACAAATTGAGCTCAGAGCCCTGCTGAGTACTGTGGTTTTTATTCATTTCTGGTGGATGAATGCACAAAGACACAAACAAGACTGCATGTGCTGGACAAAGAACAAAATCCACATCGTTATTGGCAAGGACCTGGTGGCTACATCGACTATTTAGGGTCAGGGTGCACAATAACCCACTCATTAACAAATGTTTTTCAGCTCTCTTAAACCAGAAACCTGATTACCCGTTTAGATTTCATAGGACCCACTTTGCAGCTCCAAATAGGAGGCACAGCAACAGACTGGAAGCATTGAGGGTATTCATTCTCTAATCCCACCTCTACAAAGGTTATTTCACTGGCAAACAGACTGTGAGTGTACGGTGTGTATGCAAGGGAAATTAGGTGATCATTTCACAATTTTGTCACCAAGTTCATTCTCTGCGGGTTCTCTTTTGAGCCTGGGAGTGTCACTTCCTATTGAGGTCAGAGGGGGGACAGTGACTGAGCAGATAAATTATGAAAAGAAAGGTAATAGAATCTGTTTAGCTATGCTTCCCAGCCCCTATACACACACACACACACACACACATCCTTCCTCTGACCCGAGTGCTGCTATGTAGCTAGAACTAGAGGGGAAAGAGAAAGCAAGGTGCAACGATGTCATGAAAGTAACAGTTGAAAAACATCTGGAACCACAACTAATTGCCACTCTCACATACGTAACTGCAACACCAGACAAAGCTCTACCATGCACTATAGGTATTGCTCCTTTTAGCTTCTAGTCTCAATAAGCGCCTAAAAAAAGACATTTTGCATCACACTCTGAACTTGAAATGTGTAAAATCGTGTCATTAGTATGTCTTCTATTTCATTATAAAATGATAGTAGTCCCCATAACTTCATATATAAAGCCAAGAATTAAAAGATTAAAGTGCTGTACATTTAAAAGATAAACTGCCAAACTAAACCAAACAGATCTGCCTTCCATATATCAGTCAAAACATATCTTATCTTATATCCATCTTACTTAATCAAAGCGTTGACACTTGATGACAACCAGATGAGTCTGGTATTCAAACACATGTCATGTCTGGCTATTCACCTGGCCTGAGCATTGTTCCATGGAAAGGCACACCATTTAGGCCAAGGCTAAACGATTGTTCCACTTGTTTAGAGGACGGTTTAAATATAGTGTACCTAATGGGATGATTGACAGTGATAAGGCACATGGTATCAGGCAAAATACCTCATCTAGAGGTTATATATTGACCACAACAGCTGGCCCCTGTGAATGAGCAGCAGGTAGGCTCAGCAACCGATTGAATCAGCCGATATGTAGAGTGTAAACTAAAAGCTGAAAGGTCAACAATGTAAGGGTGGAGGACGTATGTAAGATAAGATATACAAGCTTAGTTATTGTGTATATGACCCAGCATAAACAGCCACCGAGTCCTTGTAACAAACCACAGATCAATAACTCAGCAAACACGTTGACTCGCTTAACTCATTTGTTACACAATGTCAAGTTGCACATGTAGCTACATGAAAAGTAAACTAACCAACCCTTTGGTTTAAAAAAAGACATATGAAAGGCCCACTAATTTCGGATAGTTGGTTTAAAGACTTTTTTTAAAAATAATTGTTAGCAGCTACTCAAAGCTACTGAGCTGATGCTGTTTCCAACTCCACTAACATTTCATGTTAGCTTGACATCATAGTTCGGCAACGCATAAACTTTACAGAAGAAAAAAAAAAAAACACCCGCATAATATTACACGCAAACGTAGCAAATCTCATCAAAAACAGATAAATGACCCCCAGTGTGTTGTACGTGAAGCTACCTTGAGGTTGAAGCATGGATTTATAGGCTCCAGAGAAGCAGAGACGAGCTCGGCTGGGAGCTCCAGCTGCTAATGTTACCTCTGGCTGACACTGAATGATGCTTCTTGTTTGGCAACCCACGGCTGTCGTTGCTGTCGTTGCTGTCGCTGGTTAAAATATGTCGAGCAGCCGGCTGTCTGCGCTACAAATGTTAGCTGCCAAGCTTCATGTTGCGGTGTCTCTTCACTCTGCTAGTCATTTCGGCTTTCTTCCTCCACGGACTCAAAAGGCAAAAGTCGGTAGGTAAAATTCCAAGCATGCAATTGTGCTGACTGTCATGGTGCCCCTGAACGTCTACTGCGTGCGTCATTACCGCGGCATTATGGGAAATGTATTTTACTCAAAGTAGAGGCGATAAAAAAAATAAAATGAGTAGTAAAATTGCCGTAAGCCGTTAAGCTTCACGGTAAATAAACATAGGCTCGTAAAGTTTGTGGAAACACGATACACAGGGGGTTTGCTAAACTACTTAGCAATGTTAATATAGCCGTTACCAAGTTTTTTAATGTTGCCCCCCCCTCTGTGTGTGAGTGTGTTTGTAGTTCACTTTGGGACCGTTAGAGGGACGTGTGGAACCATTTCCATGGCAACTTTAAAGCTGGCGGTAAACAGCGGTTAGTTGTTTACCGTGTGAGACAAAACAGCCCACAGGTATTAATTTTGGGATTTTTAAAAAAAAAATGGAGACAGTATGTCTCGATAACTCAGCTTTGAAGGCAGTGGATGACTACTGTGAGTACAGAAGGTTAGTCTCAACGTTAGACCTATATATGCTTCTGGCTCATGACTTTAGCTAATCTACAGGGTTCTCACCAGCATGTGACAACAAGCTAATGCCAACTGCAGAGGGATTGATGTAACAGCTGAATTACAATATACAAGTAACCGTTTCATCATTCATTGTGTATGTAACTTATGTTAACAATGATGGTTTGACTTTTCAAGAATTGTAGGTGATGATGATGGAGGAAAACTGTTCACTCCAGAGCAATATGAGGAGTACAAGAGGAAGGTCCTCCCTCTACGGCTGAACAACAGGCTGTATGTGAGCTATGGGGTACCAGGGGGAATCGACTGCAAACTCATTGGCCCTGAGACACAGTGCTTCTGCACTCACAGGTAGTACATGACACCAGACATCCCTCTCCACCACACACATAGACGTACATAAACAAACCCGTTTTGAGTAATGTAATTTTGTCCAGGTACAAGCAGCACAAGACTGACTTTGAAGTGGTTCCCTCTGAGCGACCCCTCGCTCTACCATGCCAGGTCAGAGGATGTCATTGTCCTGCCTACCAGTTTATTCCCCAAATTGGCCCAAACCCTGTCCGCTGCAGGTGTAAACACTTACCTCAGGAACACAGTGAAGCTACAGGCCACTTGTGCAAAAAGTGTGAGTATGAAATCACCCTAGCCCAAAGTGACTTTAGCGTTTTATCCAGATTTTTATCTTTTCCTCGGATGGTGACAGAATCATCCAATCATAGCAAACCTTTTAACAACCACCCCGTGCCCCTAACCCTCATCTTCTTGGGTTTAACATCAAGAACGTTTGTTTGCTGTGATTGGATGAACAATGTAACATTTCCATCACAATCCTAAGGGGAAACATGTATATACAGTTAATTATTATTTTCTCTTCTTTCAGGCACTTCCTGTTCTGGGTTCCAGAGCTCCTACGTCTGTGGGTGTGGCCAGCCCAGCTCTGCCCACCAGACCCTGGTGAGTCAAACATCAAACACAGGTCCTAACAAACAAACTAATAATAACTAGTACTAAATATACATTTGCAATATTGCTACCATTTAAAGTTGCAGACTTCATTAGTTGATTTGAACTCAGCATCATTTTCTTGGCAGGTTGAGACAAAGCTAGAGAGGGAGGCACGTGGTCGTCCCATAGGCAGGGATGTCCCTTATGCGGCCATGGGCGGGCTGACGGGGTTCAGCTCCTTGTTGGATGGTTACCTCGCTTTGGAAGCCGGTGGCTCAGGTGAGCACTATATATATGTAAGCCCTATGTGTGACAGTTTAATCTCGGTCTGTAATGGAAAGCTGCAGCAGCAGGATCCATTTTAAATGTGTGTATGTGCCCTACTCTGTGTCTGGAACATTCATTGTCACATGGAGCAACATCAGCTCCCAGCAACAACAAATACAAGCCATTTTTCAGCTCAGACATTCTTTCATGCAGTCGGCCTTTGTTGGGATATGTGGCACGCATTGCACTAAAGATGAGGAAAAGTTCCTTTCAGAGGCATGTGAGGGCAGCAAAGAGCAGCACAGCATCAGTGATCATTAAACACGTCTGTACAGTAGGGATTTGTTCGTGTTCATCACCATATTGATTTCCCATCTAGACTACATTTGAAGTAGATCTGTGGGAGAAAAAAACACATATTTTACATTGTTGCAAGATTAATTGAGATTCATTTCTTTTAAGATTCATCTTCAGTTATGTAGGATGACTACAGTGATCACACAGAGGTCTTGAATTGACATATATCATAACTTCATGACGCTTACATACACATATAAGGAGAACATTGTGTTCTAATGTTACTGTGTAATGGATATGTTTGGAAACACTGAAGAAAAAATTATCAGCGTGCAAATTTTATCAGACCAATCACTGCAGTCATTTTCACCTCTTCTGAAATCCCTGGAAATTTAATTAATGATTGAATGTGCCACATTAATTCATTTTTTAATCAGTTTATGTGTAGTTAATTATTTATGATTTAATAATCTGTTGACTGATTACTCCACAATTTAGCATGTACTTTGCACACACAGTACTGAGTTAAGAGTTTCACGTTCAAATGTCACACACTCTTCTAAACACTCAAATTGTATGCAGCCATCATAACTTCTATTTTAAAGCATATCATAGTATATGATTATATGATAAACACATTTAATGTTAACAAGTGACTCCAGATAAATGCATTCTGTAAAATATAAGCCTTTAGTTTTAACACCATTTGTATTTCACATCCTGGTATAGTTAATGCACACAACATAGGTTTTATTTCAGTTCCATACCTGTGAGGTATAGAAGATGCACTGCTGGTACCTGTCACGTTTGATTTTCATAATCTCTGCTGCATCTTTTTCAGATCAAGACAGAGAAGATGGCTGCCAGCAGAGATGCTCAGCGTCAAGGATCAAAGAAGCCTCTACTAAAACAACTCTTATTCACTGTAAGAGAGAGACCAACAAACAGTGAAATACAACATTCTTCTCAGAGTCCATCTGTCAAACCATCCATTAAATATTGGACAATTCAGATTTATCAAATAAATCATACAAATCTTTTGATCTGTAACCTTTAATCTTATCCAAAGCTTAAGAGTCTTTTCATTGTTTCACAGCTAAACGTTTTTTCAGTGAAGTGGCTGTCTTTGTCAGAGTCGTGACACTGTGGTATAATCAACTGTCAGCAACAGTAGTGATTAATCCCACCACACGACAGAACCATTAACTGACAATATATTGATCCAATCAGAGGTTTGAGTGTGGGGAGCCAGAGGCAGCATTACTATGTTGATCCAAATTACCAAATTTGACGCAGTTTTTTTGTCTCTTAAGACATAACCTGAACCAGTCACAGCTTGACAGACCCTGAATACACTTAAATACATACTCAAGATCAAAAATTGTGTATTGAACACATTAGGAAGTAAAGATCTCATGTGTTATTTTCTGTTTTGTTTCTGGCTTCCATGTTAGCTGCAAAAATACTACGCATAAGTCAATCAACCTATACTTTTATTTACCGCAGTTTCTAGCAATGCCTCATATTTATCTCTTGATACATGTTCCATAAACTGGTCAGTTTACGCATCTGAGGTTAGTATGATTGATGTTCTCTTATTGAAAGAAAGCCACCCACTCAACATGCCACCAAAATAACACCAGAACCACGGAGCTCTGTGTTCAGTGAAGAGCGCCTTTTTTAATTTGGAGATAGATGTACTGTCTCCGATTGATTAATCCCATTCCTCACGGCAGATCAGCAGTGATGAGAGCTGATTTAATCCACACAGTGAATGGAGATTGAAGCAGGTCATGTTTTCTCCATTGGCGGCCCACTTTCCAGTGTCTTTAACTGAAAAATAAAATTAACGGGGATCTAAATGAGGATTCACTCCCACTCAAATGTTTCCTCTGTGCGGATGGCAAGTCAAACTGGATCAGCATCTACACCAGTGCTGTCCAGTGGATGTCAAATCGCCTGTGTCGTAATGTAAGCATTACCTGAGGGAACTTAGTGTGTGTGTGTATGTGTGTGCTTGTGTGTGTGTTAGTGAGGTGAACAGGTGGTCTTGAAAGAAAGGAAGTAGGACTACGCCTGAAGGATGGCATGAATGCACCTGGGTCTCATGTGGCCGAGTGCTCAGGAGGAAGCAAGTGGAAGGGATCCCATCTGAAAGCTGACACTTCAGATTCAGTGTGTATGTCGATGACTATGGTATCAGGTTGCCACAAGATAAAGTATGTACGCACACACTCATAGGCGAAACGCGCTTTAAAACCAATCATGTTTCCCCCATTCAGAAGAGCTTTGATGACCTCTAGCATCAAGCATCCTTGAAGAAAAAACATTTGACCTGTCTCCACTGCTTACTCAAGACATTTTTTTCTCATAGAGAAAAACGCAATTAATTTAAGAGGTAAAGGCCTGACACATTAGTGTGGCACAATTACAATTTAGGGTAATTGCCTCTCCATAGCAACCCCCATTTAGGAGGCTACAGGTAATTTATTTTGGCCATTGGTTGAAGTGAATGACTACTACACTTCCCTTATCCCCATGGAAACCACGCCCAGCTTGACTGACAGACACGACACTGCAAATCGGGAGATGAGCACAGAAGATTAAATTGGCAATTACTGCGCATGGAAACACTTAATTACCCCAGTAACAGTTACGGTAAGCACACACTGACTTAACTGGAGACGAAGAACACACTCTCCTAATTTCCCCACAGACTGAGGGAGAGGTAACAAAAACTGAGGGGCACGGAGAGACACATCAGACTGACAGGTACTGACAAACAACTTGAAACTGTCTACCAGATACTGCTCTGAGGGAAAATAGAGCTTGAAATAGAATTTCTAAACTGCCCCCCAAAAAATGGACAAGAACATCTGTTAGCTACTTCATTGAAAGTGAGTATACGGTATATGTACGTACCGTGTAGCCCATTCGACTGTGAGAGCTAAAAGAAATACCATGAAATCTGTTGGCCTCAAATTCATGTGTCAAGTTTTTTTGCTTTAATTCCTTCATAGTGATAATTATTATCCAACTCCTTCATTCATCTCAGTTCTGCAGAGCATTTTAGTGTCTTTTAGCTAATTATTTTGGTTTCGATTTTACTGTTTTGGTTCACTCTCTTCCCCTCTGATCAGTATTGTTTTCTGACACAGGAAAAAACTTCTTTTTAGCAAAAAGAAAAGCAAAAAAAAGGAGCATTTAGCAGCTAGAGTTAACAGCTAGTTACCGCTACCTCCAAATGACAAAAATATATGTTATTACATGGGGAAAATTATTAAATAAATTCATATCTGAAAGACCTTGTCATGTCATATGTACTGGAGTACATCTGACATACAATTATAGCATGCCACATTAACTTCAACGTCACTGGTTTAATTCCAGCCAGACAGCCTTTGCTGCATGCATACCCCCATCTCTCTCTCCACATTGTCTGACTCTTAATGTCATACTACACAATAAAGGTGAAAATATAATTTTTTAAATATCATCAACTCTCTTTTCTCCAAGTATCCTACTTGGATTATTGGAAGAATCTGCCTGTTTTCTACTTAGGACAGATCTTATTCAAACAAACTACAGTTTGTTCTGTTTCTAAGAAGAACAAAAAACCCATCACATTGTCCTAAAAGTGAAGCACAATCCTACGTATGACTTTGACACATGGACGTGCGTGTGCTTCTCTTTTGTGGTAGAAACAGTGGGAAATTGACAGTATAGGGACTTCATAGAGGCTCTGCTTCGATCCCCTCCTGTGTCGAGAGACTCGGGGAGGAGGATGGAGAGCGAGTCGTGAGAAATGGATTTCGCTTTTTCACAAAGAACAGTGATAACGAACAGAGAGGGATGTTGTATAGCTGGGTAAAATCAATAGAAATGTTTGACTAACAAAAGTCTGTTTAAACACATGCAGGCATACACACCCACTCACACATATACACCCATTAATGGAGTGTATATGACCATAACACATACATGGCATACTGCATGCTGACAGAAAGGAATTAATGCTATTAATTCCTGTTTTATAGAGCACTGTTATCAGTGCCATATAGCAATAAGGCACTTGTAAATTGTCTATAAGTTGTCATATTATCAAAGGACCAAGTCAATAACAAAGGGTGGTATTTACCATGTTACAATAAGCTATTAAATCTGTCGTTTTAAATGTAATTAAGTTATACGTTTTTCAGAAAAGGGGTCAAACAATCTACAAGACAGTTTCTGTGTACTTTAAGAGCAGCCCCAAAAGACAAGACAGCCAACAGTCGACACACAAATCAGACCGATCCTTCAATTACTTATAAAGACTGGACTTTCTCTCACATTTTTTGTGGTCTCTAGATTTTGCCTTGGATTGAAATCCAATTTGATTTTAACAAGTGTTTACGAAAGCTATGCAATCTCACTGCCTCACACAAAAAACCTTCCTGACTAACATGATAACTAGTGAGCTTTATTGGTGCTGGTAGGCAGATTTTGCTACCTTGGGACAGAGCCATGCTAGCTGTTCCTCTGTTTCCAGTATTTATACTGAGCTATGCTACATTTAACAGACAGATATGAAAGTGGTATTGATCTTTTTTATAGAATTGAAAGCATAAATCTAGATTAAGGTCAATATCCTTCTCTGCTTGTCTTAATTTAATTTAAAGGGTCTTAAACACAATACAATTGCTGATCAGTAAGGCATTAATACATTTTGTCAGAATCCATTAGAACTTATATAATTCAAATCTCTCAGTTGTTGCTGCTTCAGTTGAGTGTGCGCCCCTTGTGAGTTATGTTTGACTTGTGTGTAACTGCTTTTGCTCACAGAAATTCCACATTATGCACCAGCTACCTGAATAATAACATTCAATCTGGAAATGTCTTTAATTTGCAGAATAAGTATTTGGACACACTCAATGGCTGATTGACAGCCATGTGGAAAAATGTGTTCTTTCATGAATGCCGCACGCTCTTGAGAACTGATGCTTTCAACTGCTTTCTAATGCATTAGCCGGACTGCTTAAATCATACATTTCCCCTCCATTATCAGGCTCTTCGTCTGTGAAGCCTGCATCTAGCATTGTGTCTAATAAGCTGGTAATACATTTAACCTGGCTGCACCTGTGGTTATCACATTGTCTCTTCAGACCTGCAGTATGCTAAATGGCTGAAAAATTGCTTTCAAAAATGTACTCAGCAGACCTATTAAAATATTAAACCACAACAGTAACATGATTTGGGCAGCATTGTGACGTCCTTCTTAATTTGTGCTGCGTGTTTTGTGTTTAAATACATTCATTTCCCATTAAACATGAGAGCCCAAAAATATTGATAATATCACACACTCCAGGATTTTGCTGGCTCTTTTTTGGGATTGTTGAGGCATAAAATGTTTGTTTCCACCACAGCCTTTCTAGAAAATTACGATGCATGTTGTGATTTACTAGGCAAAGAAATTGCAGGAGAAAGTGAAATAATTCATTTAATATTGAAGCAAACTTGTCCCGTTGAGAATAATATCGACTGTTTGGAGGGTGAATGTGAGAAGTTTGTGATGCACAAGATGCAGCCTCAACACTAGAAACAGAGAAATTAGGATACTGTTGATGTATGATTTGTGCATGAGGGTGATTCATCACTAATTCACTTTAAAAAAGATGCAACTGTTATTCTTGCCATCACCATTGAAGCGTGGCAACACAATATCATCAACTTCAGCTCAGAAAATATCAGGAAATATATCCTCCTGCAACAGTAGAAAAAATGAGCTCCCCTAAAAGCCATGGTACAGTTTGCACAGTGGAGCCTGTTAAAGGATTTAGAATGTTGTGCTATTTCTTTGTTTTCATATTACATATTTTAGATTAAGGTCTGCTATTTAAATCAACACTGGTTAGAGACTGGTTTAGACACCAAATCCACCATAACCTCTTAGGATATTCAGCGATTTACAACTGATTTTATATCAACCTGACATAACCGTGACACATGCAGACTACTGTGGTTTCATAGGTCACAACAGTTATTAAACTAAAGTTTAGTGCCCTTTGACGCAGTTACAACTTTCATCAGGTTCCTAATATCAAGGCTCAGGACTGTAACCCCGCACACCTGAGCCGAACCAACCTGCCACAGTTTGACAGCTTGACCTTCTGTTCACCTGTCAATCAAAAGACCTTATGTGATGTTTCTCTTGACATGACGTTTGTGCTGCTTTCACCACAGGAGCAGATGTGGCAGAGACACATTTAAACTCAGAAACACAGACACACACTCACACACAGAGAGAAGAGGTAAAGACAGGTAAATGAAAACACTGAGACTAGATAGGGTGACTCTTAAAGCAGTGGGGGTCTAATTAGAGCGATAGAAGAACAAGTGAGAGAACGACAAAGGACATCATTTCTTGTTATTTCCTCATTGAGCAGTTGTCAGTATTGTACTTACTCTGAACTGAAAGTAGAGAAAAGCTTGTGCTCTTCGTGATGTTATATAGTTCAGTAATTGCTTACAAAGGCTGTCAATTAATGTCAACGCCAGAACAAAGAAGACAAATTTGGGGACACGTTTCTTTGAAGTGTTGATAGCTAAAGACTCAAAGAAGTGGATAGAAGAAATTATACTTTTTTTGATGGTAGACCATTCCTGTAGAAACAAGCCAATTATTTATTTAGGCATTTATGCAAATTACATTGAGTCAGTAATAAAAACTAAAATAGATCCTTTTTAAATATGACTTAACACAACATAGCTCAACACAAGAAAAGCCTGATGAATAAAATTTGGAATAAATGGTTATTTAATTGTTTCAGTTGAATTAATCAAAGACAAAAAATGCCTGAATGCTCCAATATGAACCCTAATATGAAAACCTCTTTACCCAAATCACCTTCAGTTTGAAGCTGCAGCCCACGTAGCCCAACAGGGGGCTGCCGATTCTCTATCTAAGTAATAGTAGTGCTTGCTTACCAGAAGTAACACATTGTCACCATAGCACAATAGTATAGTCAAAAGCAGCAATTTAGATGTCAGACTTGTGTATAAAAGTGGTGTGATAGCCAAGAAAGTGCCAAGGCTGTAAGGGATTTTGCCTTTTTTTTTCATTTGTACTCCCAGTCCGTTTGCATGCAACTGCCTGATAGCGAAGATACAGGCAGCCTGCTTGTCAGTGTTTCCTTTTACAGTTGTACACACTGTAAATTTGAAAAGTGTGATTCACAGCAGCGGAAAATTACAGGCCCTTTCATCTTAACAAATCTTGGGAGAGAACTTATTGTCCAAACCAGGAGGCTGATGAGAGGAGGGGAAAACAGATTTGTATTTAAACAACTTGCTCTCTGAAGGACTCCTTCTCCACATAAGTGATCTCTGATAACGACAAAGCAGGCTCAAAGAAATTCTCTCATACAGCAGTTCCTAAGGTGCTACATCTAAAGCAGCAATGTATCATTGTTACATTAATTGTGGGTATTTGGGTTTGTCTAATTAGTGTAAACAACCGGGGCTGTATTGGAGATGATTGGTAGGTCTCTTTCTAATAACACTGATAATATTAGTGCCGATGTTGATGCAAATTAATGACCATATTAACTCCCCTGAACCCCATTCGCCCTGCCACGTTGCCATTTGTCTGCACTTGAGCTGGAAGAACGGCGCCCTCTTCCTCTTTTGTGCCGCACAGAAAACCAGCAGATTTTATTCCAAAATCTGTCTAGGTTGTCAAAGCCATTTTAATTATAGAACATGTTGTAAATATTTAATGAATAGAATACTGGCTGAGACTGATACCACCTCAAGCATGGACTTATACATTGTATATATTATAATTTAACTGAGAATAAAGCTGCAACCAAGATGCCCTAGGTTAAAACCTCTTACTTTAGTTGATTACCTTGTATTACTCTTTGTTGTTTTCATATTTCAAACACACTTTCAACATTATATTTGAAGGGATACGACAGGCATTATTCTATATTCTTGTTGTTGTCAACAAATCCCACGAAAAAGACCTAAAATCAGCAGTGTGTTAATCCATCTCTTAATAATTTCTGACTTCTTTACCCTGTCTTTAGCACTCTGCACCAAGCCCATTTGTTCCTACTGATGTAAATCCTTAAAAACAAGTCACAAATATAGAGTTCATTTATTTTTCTAGGAATAAAGTGTGTATTTGTTGGGAGGGGCTATTTTCAGATGTGGATTAATACACATGACTCAGAATAAACTACAGTGCCCATGTTCATTGTAATGAAGGAACATGCCACCCAGTGCAATGTGGCTCACTGATTATAACGGTTGGAGGTCTATAGCGCAGGGGAAAAAACTATGAAAGGAAATAGGAAAAAAAATATCAGACTTGTTAGTAGGATCAATTCATCGTTGGTTTTTGGTCTTTTCACGGGGAGTTAGGAAAATATTTAATACCACCAGCTTTCCTTTAACCCACCTTGAGCGACTGAGCAAATGAACATCCATAATCACATTTTATTTAATTAATTAGCGTGCCATGTCACCGTTTATGAAAATTGTCAATATTTACATAGATCAGTGAAAGTAACACTGACAAAAAGAGCTGTGTTAAAAGTGTAACTATCGACTAAGCCTCTCTTTCCTGACTGTTTAAAGGCTGTTTGACTCCTGTGGGAATGCATCCCTAAAGACATGGATTTGTCTGTGTGTGTTTCTTAATCCTCTGTGTGACAAGCATATTTGGTTTGGGCTTCATCCACTATGTTTTTAACATTTTGTTTCACCTAAGGTTGTGATCAAGAGCCAGCAAGTGTTATAAGAGTAAACTTAAATGAATGCCACTTTGGCAAACAAGATTTTGACAGGCAGTTTTCCCTCCTTAGTTTTTAGCCATTGGCTCCTGCGACTGAGTCTTTTTTTGCTCTAGCTGCTGTAACGGTACGACTTTCCCACCGGGATTAACAAAGTGCTCTATCTATCTGATCCAGCTGTCTGTGGTAATGTAAGATGGTTGGGCCAGCACTTTGGTCCAGACTGAAATATCTCAACAACTACTGGATGAAATTATGCACAGACATTCATTTCCCCCAGAGGAGGAATCCTACTGCCTTTGCTGATCCTCTGACCAGCTTCAGCTTTATTTTGTGTTTAGCACTAATTAGCATGCTAAATAAGATGGTGAATATGGTGAACATTGTAGCCTGCCTCCTTAACATCAGCATGTTAGCATTAGTCACCTATGCTAATTAGTAGCCTTAGGTAGTCATTTTAAACATGTCACCAAGCTAGCATTTTGCTCAATACACTACTGTGTACTGAGGACAGCCTCACAAAGCTGCTAGCATGACTGAAGACCCTGTCTTGTTCTTAGCTGGCATGAGTGTAACCCAACATGGCCTCTTTTATTTGAGCCGGTGTGCTTCAAGGATCAATGAGTTGTGCATTCAGAGGACGCACATTCGGTCAGATCTTAAGACGTCACCTCTGTCTCAGACACTGGAGCTGATGCATCTATCCCTAATGATCATACCACTTTACTCAGCCTTATTTTCAAGCAAACATTAACTGACCTCTCAACTTTATCCACGTGCTTTATACATCTGCTTCATTCACATGTCAGACACTTCAACATTCGTATGTAGGCCCAGGCTGTTTGCTTAAAAAAGGTGTTATACCTATTGAAGTGAGTCACTAAGAGAGAGAGTGTGTGTGTGCGCGCGCGCGCGTATCCCCTTAAGAGGACTAGAAGTTCTAATTCCTGCCTGTGATCACCATGATTCGGTCATGACTTTGTGCTCCACGTTCTCTCACTTGTGTCTCATTCCTCATCTCCCTCTTAGCATCCTGTGTTACACAAAAAGCCCTTAACACATCCTCCGCAGCAACTTAAAAAGCAGCACTGCTGGAGAATACTGATTTTGATAGATTATATGGCTGCGAGCTGGTATACAAAAGGATTATGAATGGGAGGTAAATGAAGCACTTAGTGATACAGATTCATTTGAAGTGCTATTTGGGTTTTCTTATTAAGTGGGTTTCTTGGAGATTGGGCTCTTCTTTGACTGACGTATCTCGATATTCACATTTAGGCCTTTTGTTCACATTGAGTGTCCCAGTCTCTCTTTCCATCTGATGGAGTGAACTGCAAAATGAAATTAGTGGACTGATTCAGTCAAACAGCGTGTCAGAAAAGGGCTCGTGTACATGGGAGTCTGTTTGAGATCTTTTTATTCCAGATTACCCGAGGCATCATTTTAGGAGCTTCTTTGGGTAAGGAGGCCGCCTGTAGAAGACTAATGTGAAGTTCGCCCACAGTGGTACATTACTGCCATTCTTTTGTGCCTTCAGATGGCATTATTGATCTCATTATGCAGAAGAATCACTACTTGATTGTGAGATAATTCATCACCTTCTTTCTCATAGAGAAGCCTCATAAACACCAAAACATCACACTCAGCATGTATCAGTCTGTTTGACAGTGTGTGTTTGAATGCAACACTTGCTGAAAGGGTGTAGTCTATTTGTGTGATGTGTGCCTGTTTATGTACACACACCTGCATTTGAGACAGAGTATAATATTTGTTACATTAGCAACAAAGTAACTTAGTTCAGTAACATTTCCAAAGGGAATGTGTGTCTCAGATGCTCAGCAGTGACTTTGTAGTGAACTTATCATACTTTCTATAATGCTCACTGCAATATCCATGTAAGGTTGCTATAGGGACATTAGTTATTTTATTTGATTACTATCTCAAAATGTAATTGTACCAGCGGGATTTGTTACATTGTTACACAAAAAATAAACACTCCATCCCTAATCCCTCATGGTCTCGCTGGAAACAAGGCTTATTAACGCACTCTATTTTTAGTTTACCTTGTTATTTTTACGTCTTTTAAATGAATGGAAACAGCTTCTTTTAAAAAACACATTAATGACAGCATCACCAGTGACGTTCGCATGAAGAAAGGCAGAGACTTGCGCTAAACGCAGCGCCGCTCTGACGCGTTTTTCTGCAGCGCCTCTTTGCGCACACAGCTATAAAACCCAGCGCGCACCAAGCACCCAGAAGAGCAGAAGAGACCCTACAGGACAGCGCGCAAATCTCCCTCTAAGCCTCTGGTAATGTAAGTACCTTGATATTTGATTTACAAAAACCTTCACAAGAATATATTGAACTTATTTAAAGTCTCTCGACATGACTTGTGATGATTGTTTGCAGGTTATGCAGCTGCAAAAGTCCTTGTTATTGGAAATCTATTATTAATATTGTTAATGTAATGTTTGCATGTTTTTTACTCCGATGAACTTTGTAAAATATTCCTCAAGCAATGTATTTAAAGCTGAACAGTGATCCATCTCAAAAGTAATGCCTCATTTTAAAAGAGAAAGGGACATTTAAAGCACAGTGAGAAAAGTGCCCAGTGGTGTGACAAGTAATACTTTTTTCGGTCAGATGCATCCTAACTTGGTGAGCTGGCTGGGGACTCTGGGGTTCCTGCTGTGGGCACTACTCTGCCTGGGCGCCCTGACGGAGGGATACCCGGTGAAACCGGAGAACCCCGGGGAGGATGCCCCGGCGGAGGAGCTGGCCAAGTACTACTCAGCCCTGAGACACTACATCAACCTCATCACAAGACAGAGGTAGGCGGACTAATTACACCTTTCTGAACAGAAAGCTTATTAACAGAGCTGGAGTTCATTTGAATTCAGGTTTAAATTGGTATTGAGGGGTATTGCAATGCTTCTTTCTTTTCAAATGACTGTATTGGTAATAAATGTCCACTGGCTGGTAGCTTCCACTTTTAATTATTATATTTTATTCTATTCTAGTCTATTCTGTCCAATTCTATACATTTGTAACCACTGAATATAATGACATGAATGCTATCAGATTAAACATGCCTAAGTAAGTTGAGTGGTGCCTCATTATATTATTCCAGTTAAAACCATTTTCTCTCATAGGCCTAAATAGTCAATTCAATTCAATTCAATTTTATTTGTATAGCACCAATTCATAACAGAAGTTATCTCAGGACACTTTTCAAATAGAGCAGGTCTAGACCGAACTCCTTAATATTGTACCAGTTCCAATTTCTGCTAAGTAGGAATGCAGCATTTTTTATTCAGGTGGATTGTTTATCATCATGGCTGGAAGCTCGCATAATATATTGAATTTGAAAAAAATGTTATATTTTTTTCTATTTCAATGCTATCACACAACTACTTAATGGTGGTCTTTATAGGAAACTTTCATTAGCTTTCTGTTACGCTGTTGACATCGTGATCCAACAATAAAGCACAACATTTTCAAATCAAACAAGCAAAATAGGGAGTCCAACCTCAACTCTTGCCTGTTGGAGCTGCCTGTCAAAGTCTGACTGCAGCTTCTCACACCTTGCTACAAAGCAGAGAACACCCGCTGCCCATTTACCACCTGTAGAAAAAAAAAAACCTGAGGATAAATGACTGCCACGGCCAGCATGCCGTGTTAAATCACCTGCAGTTTTTAGCTTTCTTCTGAATGTCAGGGGCTTGGATGCCGCTGCAGGCGTTTAGCAACCCAGGAGGGGAAAGCATGCCGGCACGGCTTATCATCTGAGAGGCAGAAAGGGAAATATTACCACCTGTGATGCAACTACTGTCTACCCCTGCAGGGTCTCGGTCTGACTGTGTTCAGGCTTGACTGAGCTTATAATTGGATGTATGACATGAGGACATGCAGAGTAATAGGTTCTGTTATTTATTTGTCTGTGCTCAATATAGCCAATGTCTCTCTTTTTCTTTGTAACTTTTTTTCCATTTGACAACCAAAAGGTTCAAGTTGGTGTGAAGCTTGATAATGTATCATCACCTTTTCCTTTCTGTCTGTCTGTCCCTTTGTGTGTCAGGTATGGAAAGAGGTCCAGTCCTGAGATTCTGGACACACTGGTCTCAGAGCTGCTGCTGAAAGAAAGCACAGACACGCTTCCACAGTCGAGGTGAGTGTAAGGCTGTGAATGTAAGAGCTCCACATTGCTGCGACCCTCTCAGGAATCTGATCTTGACCTTTGCCTCTCTCTCTTACTAGATATGACCCATCATTGTGGTGATGCTGTTACCCACTTCACTGCTGCCCCGCCGCTGCTGACATTCTGACCTCTTCACATCCGCCACCCCATACCCTCCTACACCAAATGACCACCCTGCCTCTGTCCCTTTTACCTCTATGAGCCACCACGTATATTCAACCCCTCCTCCTTATCCATCGTCACTACTGCTTATAGTATGTGCCATAAAATTGTAAATAGTTTATTGAGAGTTATCATCTGTGAAACATAAAAGTAAAGTGGGGGGGGGAGGGCATGTTGATTGTATTGTATAATTGTGCTATTAAAGATTAATTGTTTGAGGAAATGTATTTCTTTGCATTCGTCTGGTCGGCTAACTTTTACACATTTTAATCAGGTTTCAGACATTTGATTTTAAATGAACTGCAGTCTCAGTCTTAAGTCTCCAAAGTATGGACCAGAACGTACATGAGTAGATTTGGAGAAGGAAAATGAAGCAATTACTGATGGCTGATATCTTATTATGTATTCCATGTAATTAAATATTTGATATAGGTCGCCTACTAGTCAGATTAGAGAGAACATTGGTCCTGAATGCTCCCCTGACATGAAAATATTTTGTTAACATGCATACTGTTTTCTTGAAGTCTTTCCCTCATGATGAGATCAAGTTTGGACTTGCTGTGCCACACCTTGCTTCCCGGCTGAAATCCATAACTGCACCACCTAATGCAGCTCTATGACTCTAGATAATGGGGCAAGTGCAAGAGGAGTACATTTAAACTGGGTCTAACAAGCATGATTAGTCCAGTAAAAGCTTACATGGTCAGAAAACATCAATTTGAAGCTGCCAATTGTGTGTCTAATGGCGCGCCCTTGTGGCCATGAGGATACGTTCCTGCTTTGAAACTAAATGAAGGGAGAAAAGGCATTTCCAGGAATATTATTGCAATTACAGGAATGGTTAGTCTACCTCAACCTGACATCTAATCAGCCCACAGAGCACAAATCAGTTAATCGGCCAAGAGCCAATCCAGGAACACAGACTGCAATGGAAAGAAGACAGAGGAAAAAACATTCAAAGGGGAATCCAGTGAGTCCTTAATATTCATGTGGTGGGAAGTGGAATAAGTATTCAACGATTTGCCTTGTAAAACAGTGACATCTGGTCAATGGCTGACACTGAACCATGAATAGACCCATTTCACAGCAGCCATTTTGACATGAAATTGTAGGGTAAACACAGATGTGGACAATAGCAGCACCCTTACTCTGACCTAAATGGAACAAAACCTTAATTAGTATCACTGGTAACACCTGTGTTTACCCTACAATTTCATGTCAGAATGGCTGCAGTGAAAAAGGTCTATTTAAAGACTTTCAAAAGATCCCTTGCTTTCAGCCTCTCTTCCTCTCTCAGCGAAAGACTTGAGAGTTGAGTTGATAAAAGTGGCTGAAAAATGAATGCAGACAATATACATAGTATACGTAGTGTGGTAAGACTGTATAGGCTGCCATGGGACTTAACTCCTTATCCTAAAATTCCCAGTTAATCTGAAATGTGGAAATAATCACATTAATTTGGTTCACATGGCCACTAGAACTGCTGCTGCACATCACATTAGCTAGCTCTATTGTTTAAGTGTGTCAATACACCAATGAGCTATGGGAGGCTATATATTATTTTCTACCACCTTTATGTTACTCAGGAGTAGTTTTGGGTGGCCATTTTGTACTTCAAATCTCTCTCGGTGTTAGCATAAATGTGGCTACACTTGCTGCTAAAACGAGTAAACAGTATTACTTTTTAAAAAGTATTAGCCCACAGTCTATATATTAGCATATTATTACAGCTTCATAGACTATAAAAAGTTACAGCGCCGGAGTTAGGCCTGTACTTCTCTGTGGGAGCCTGCTTTAATATCTGTAAGTCTACATTACGCATTCGAAGCTAACATGTATTTATGTGAATGGACATTGTGATGAAAAGAAAATACTATATGCTACAATATATTCACTTAGCGAGGGTGGTACCTCGGCAGCCATTGGTCCATATTGTATGACGCCAGCTGCGGAGGCGGGGCGTGTCTGTTTGATTGGCGTCGTGTTCTCTGGTAGTCTGCTGCGGGACCAGGACAGACAGCTGAGGGGGGCCTGAATGTCCAACCGGGACAGTCGGTGGACTACCGCGAACTCGCACGCACGATTCACAGGTAAGTCACGGCTCGTGATCATGTTTGTGATGTGAAGATTGTGAATTCATTCATCCCGCGGCATTCAAACCGGAGACAAAGACACTTTGCCGTGTTTGAGGTGCAGTAGAGTTTGACAGAAGGGGAGGTTTGCCCCCTATAGAGCCCGCTCTGCTGTGAGGACAGGCTTTATTCACACACATATCAGTTTGCGTTGGGAGTCTATTGTGGGTTCGGACGCGTCCTTTCTCTTTTCCCGCATATCACGAGGACGGATACAGCGGATGGGTTGTAGTCGTAAGTGTGCGCACGCCACAATGGCTCGGATGGGTAACAAAAAATGGCCGCACGTGTGGCGAGATCGGTGTGAATGTACAGTTGTCTGGTCAACCGAAAACGGCGCAGGCGTTTGGCACGGATCTGGCGCACGGTTCGAGCGCACGGAGATTTGGCGCACGACTGTGGCCGTGCGTCAGAATCGCGGCGTCGATCCATGACTGGAAAGATATGAGGGAAGAGCCGCAGGTTATAGTGCTGACAGGATGAGGAGGTTGGAACGCGCTACCGTCCCGAAATGATGGACTGCAGCATTTACCAGCAAAGGGTGGTGGTGGTGGGCTTGAGTGAAGGGTCACACAGTGCGCTTTTACTACAACATCAAGTCCCAGTAATAGCTCCACCATGTAGAACACTCTCTCGTATTTTGCTGTGTAGAAAAACTTTCCCAACAGAGATCAACAACGCGTTGTTTGTATTGAGCTGATGCTGAATGAAAACGGAGAAGGGGACCGGTGGCTTGGCACAGACTGACCGACCGGAGGCGCAGCCAGACGGTCCTATTGATTTTTATTTTTTGTCCTCCACTGAGATGTGTGAGTGCACCATCTAATAATAATGCACTAACACGATGTCAACCCTACTTTATGTGAGCACTTAATCGAAACATAAAACCCACTTACATATCACAACAGACTGTGCAGCTCTCAATGAATCTTGGGACTTCCTTGCTCAGAGGAGCATAGGGTCACTTGGCAAGGTTTATGAGCTGTTCAGCCTCACGCACGTGATGGGGGAAGCCCATGCACATAGGCAACAGCCTTGGGGATCCTTCCTGGGAGGGTCTATATAGGCCCCCAGACCACTGAGAGGGGGTAGCATGGATCATGTTGCATCTAAACTAGAGTTTATGAGTCTTTCTCTCTTCCTTTCAATCATATAATAAGGCCTAATCAGATTTGTTGAATCTAATTGGAGAAACAAAAGGAGGAAGGGAAGGAGACTGAGACAGTTTAGTGCATTAGAGTAAACCAGCAGTCCCTGGGCAGGGATATCCAGTAAAGCCTTTGAGTCAGGATTCAGGATGACCTTTATTGTTTTGCTGAAGTAGGTGGAATAAGGAAAGTTAGACCCCTCAGCCCTCATATGCATATTCCTTCCTGTCAGCAGGGCGGAGGAGAACACGAATTTCAAGTTAAACACATGCTCCCAATGTTGGAACATATGAGTTGTCAGTGAGTCATTCAGAGACCATATCCAACACTCAGAAGCTTCTACTCTTCCATTATTAATACGCAGCTATGGGGGAGATGGTACAGAAAAAAAGAGGAAGGGGTAGAGCAGAAGAGAGACATAGATAGGGAAGCACACACACACGCACACACACACGCACACACACATTGTAGTGACTCAAACCTTCCAGCTATGAACAACAAATGTATCACAGGGCTGTTATCTACACACCTACAATCAACCCTCCCCGCCCTGCACCAGGGCTGCACCTCCCTTCAGTTAACACACAACTGACCCCATGACAGCTATCATGAGCTAATTGGATCTCTGTCGAGTAGAAACACAACTAAATGACTAACGTACACGGAGAGGGAAATTATTTTGGAATGAACTTTGTGTAAGAATTGCTATAAGGCAAATGTCTTGTTGTTTTTGGCCCCAGTGTATAGTGCAGATTCACATGATTTCTTCTATCACTAAGGTCTTAAAGGGGCATACCACTGCAGATACACAATACAATTTTCCATGTAACACAAGACAGTGTGGTTTGTATTTCATCAACTAAATAAAATCTTGAATATGTTCTAAAACTTCACCGGCAACAGACTGATAAAGATGGGAGAACTGACAGAATAAGTAACATATTTTCTGATGAAAACTCATCTGCAAAGGGATTATTTCAGGTCATGTAAGTAAAGCAGCCCAAAGTCTAATTTATTTGTACTGATGCAGCTCCAGCTAATACTGCAGCAGAGCCCTTATTCTATGAAGGAGATGCATGTGCTTGTAATTCTCGCCAACATTCAAAAATGTGACGAGACGAACTAAGAAAAGGGCAAACACGCTGGGTAAACTCCTCTGAGAATAATTTCTTTTCCTTATCTCTTCCTCTCTCTTCTCGCGTTTTCCCATTTTCACACAACATCAATTTTCTCATTTTTAAACTTTGCAGTCATGTTAAATGCTGTTGCATCACTTCGCCCTCCCCCATCCCCTCCCAGTCTTTTCCTTAATACTAATGATCAGTAACAGGAGGCTGGGAAGGGAGAGAGCCTGAGAGGAAGCAGGCACGGCCATGTGGCGGGATAGATTATCTCACAAGGTGCTCATTACTAAGATCACTGCACGTTCAGTGCCGTAGGGTTTTGACGAACTGCGGACGGCCGTGTAATTATATCATCCTGAGCTGTGTGGCAAAGCCCAGCTGGAGCATCACCGAGAAGGAGAATGATGTCATTTTTGGTGATGGCGGGGAAAGTGCAGTGACGCAACAATTGATGCCTTTGTGTTATAACAGTGGTACTTCAGATTGCAGAGTCAGGTGAAGAGTGTAAGCATGAATCAGCAGAAACCATAATTATTGTCTTTTGTGGTGGATTTTGAGAAACTGAGCTGATTTCATCAACTTTCCGCAGACAGTGGCAATAACAGAGAGATAACTGGTTAGAAAACGTGGTTATGGTAAATATTCTGCCAATATTGATCTGCTAAGATGGCCATCTTAGGGGTAGCACTGTAATCCTCTTATTGAGCGGCTGTGTTAACACATGGAGTGACCTACATAGGGCTTTTCTTGAGGCAAAGGGTTATGGGTGCGAGGTAGGACAGGATAGTGTTGGTTTTGGGGGGAGTGGTTATATGAATAGTCAGTCATCACACACACATGTAAGTCCACAAACACACACTGCTTCCTTGAATAACCCCTCTAGCGCTCGCTACCATACCGGTGTCATGCAGTGGGAGCGCTGCAGGTCAGTGCTCAGGAAAGTTTATTAATTGCTCTCTGCTACCCCTGGAGTCAGCCAATAACTTGGCGTCTGGACTCCAAGACAGAACAGAGCTCACTGGCCTCTTTTGTGATTCTCAAGTCACTGAGAGGAACTGAGAGTGACGGCTTCTCTGAGAGCCCTGCGCCCCCGGCTCTGTGGTGAACAGGAGGGCAGAGAGTACGTCTTTGTCAGGCAGAGAATAGCGGTAAAGAGAATATATACGCAAAGATTGAATGGTTTCTCCAGGATGGATGCTTGACTCGCTGTGTTTGTGTTTCAGGACCCCGAGGGATGTAGAATTTGACTTCATCTGAGGCTATAAATTCACAAAATGTGCTCGTTGAGACGCCGAGTCGGACTGAGATTTCCTGCTGGCGTGTCTAGAACTGGTGGAATTAAAACCACACAGCCTGCTGATGTTTGTCTATGCTTTAAATAGTGTGCCCATGCGCACACGCATGCACGTTTACATGTGTGAGACAGAAATGATGTTTTGTACAAAAACAAACCCTCTGATCCTTCCATAATCCCCCTTCCATCAGCTGTCCATCATCTGAGTGCTTGGCAACCAGGGGGCACTCAGAGGGCTTTTGTTTGACTCGTCCTTTCCTTCACACCAGCCAATGGCAGTCAGGGTTGCAAGTGACCACTTCCTGGGATTTTCCCTCTGTCCCAAGAGGAGGAAAGAGGACAGTGATGGTTATAAAAGGACATCGGGGGAGTCCTGAGTCCAGTGTACGCTCAGAGTTTAAATCAATGATAGAAAGATTGACTTAGTTTGCGTTGGAACCCAGTTCCTAGTCCCTGAAATGACCTGGCTCTGCATGCAAATAAGTGCACAGGCAAACTCTCCATCGTCTATTCTATGTAAAGCCAATTATCAGGAAGAATTCAGTGACATTCAGATGCAAAAAGACTATAACTTGATGCAACTATCACTACACGAACTACAGTTACCTGGCAGTTTCTAGAAACTGGTGTTTTTATGCAACGACCACACTTTTCTGCCTCAAGACTTTTTCATCGGTTCCCTCTCTTACCCCCCTGAGACTTGAGAGGCTTTTACCACAACTCTGTCTAATCTTTAAAGATTCTTCTGTCTTTCTCCTCTCCTTTGTGACTCCTAATGTGCCCGTTATCTATTCCTTATACTCTTGCTCTGTATCTCCTCTCTGACTCGTCTGAAATTCTCCCTCTCCCTCTGCTAAGTTTTATACTCTAAAAGCAATCCCATATTTTTTCTGCTCAGCGATTCACCTCCTCTATTTGTTCTTCCCTCCCCGTTCGGACCTTTGATTGTCCCGAACCGGCTCCTGCTCTATGGGGCGGATGATTTGGGGAGGAATTGTCGCAGTGGCTTTGCCTCCATTAACATTCTTCCAAGGGATATCTTTCACTTCCAATGAGCGTGCCGAGTGTGATTGTAATCTGTGTTGCGTAATGAATTGACCTCTCACTCCCTCTCTCTTCCTCTCACACAATGAAGGACCAATTAGCTCTAGCATGATGTGTGAAAATACCCCAGTAGAGCACAAAGGCATAGTGGCAAAGCAGTGATGAGTAGACTTTCTCTGTGTGTTATTATCACCTTGTACATGTTTTGGCACTCGGAAAATGATTGTTTCCAGTGGACCCAGAGTAGAGAGGAGCTTAAGGTCAAAGGTTAAGTGGACAGTGTGATCTCCTGTCTAAAAAAGTATTCCAAGAAAGAGAATTATTCACAGTTTTATAACAGATAGAGTGGATGTAAAGTGTTATTTTTATAGAACAGTCTTTCCAGCCACCACACTACCCTTCCTTTCCTCGGGGACAGAGAAAGAGGCTGAACGAAATGAAGTGTGGAAGAGTGATAATCTATTGTTTTGTGGGTGATTGCAGGCATCGGTTATTTGTAATCACATAATTTCATTGTTTTTTTGCTGGCTTGCATTTTTATAATGGTCCATTTAACAATGGCTATTCAGAGCAGCATGAATGGGTTTAGTTCCACTGGATGTTGCAGTTCTCTCAGACAGATGATGTTTTAAACATCGTGCAGTGGGGCTGGGGTTGGTGCAGGAGAGTAGGTCCTTTCTGTCTACATTTAGAGTCACTTATGAGTAGAAACCCGAGTAGAAGAAGTGAACAAATTACATTTGAAACAGCAGTTTTGGGCTAATGCAGATATAAATACTTTCAGTCGCTACGTAGCAGTCTCTTTCCCTAACCCTTCATCAACTGATGTGGTTTACTCAAATGTCAAAGATATGTACATGGTAAAACTTAACTTGGTTTTCTGAATAAAACCATGTGATATAGTCAGAAGCCAGCACAACACAGTGGACATTGATTTGAGATTTTTTATGAACTAATTCAGATAACGATTTTTGGGTAATATTATTTTATGTTTCCACATATACCCTTTTTCAAGGATCCATCACAAAGTCTGTTTGCATATCAGCCAACGCCTACAATGATATAGATATTGATATTGATCCTCTAATATACAGTGTTAAATATCTATAAGTAGTCTACCTCTACTTGATACACATATGGATGGTGTGTGTGTGCATGTGTTTGCTTGAGTTTGCAAATGAAAGTGAAAGGAGAGTCTTTCTGGGAATGAATGCGTACTGCTTTGTCATTACTTTCAGAGAATAGTTTCTATTTACTACATTGACGGCACTGTGCCAGCTGATGATGCAGGCATCCTTGAATAGCTGAGAACAATAAATCGTCCTGAATGACTCTATGCATCGCTCTGAGCGAACAACAGCTCCAGTCTGCAGACAAGACTCCTATCTTGCAAAAGAAAGGGATGACATAGATAGATAAAACGTATAATCCACGGAGAAAACTAAGGAGTCATTGAGTTTGTGTGAGGGATAAGCACAAGTTCGTATGTGAATGCTCAAGCAAGTGTGTGTGTGTGTGTGTGTGTGTGAAATGATGGAAACTGGTGTGCGGGAATGCAAGTAGGACAGAATATCCATGTCTCATAAGGACGAGTCTCACAGACTTTCACACGTCTGTCTCCCTCTCTCTCTAGGTCTTCACAGTTGACTGATGAGCAGCCAGTAGGACTGGGGTTGGGCTACACCGACTGGCACAGGTAAACACAACTCTCTCCCTGCCTCTTCCTCAGTACCGACACACTGGAGAGTTTAGGGATTATGTTTTCTGACATGATTTCTGGGAGGACTGCAAGTCTTTGAAGCAAGGATGTTTTGATCACAGATCCTAAAAAAAACCTTCACTTTTAAGGAAGTCATTTCTACGTGTTTATATGTATGTGTGGATTACAAGGTTGATAATACTTCTGATTACTTAGAGGATCATGCTAATATTAATCTAAAACTGTGAAATTGACGTTTCGGTTTCATATAAATAAGATCTATTCCCTTACTGCCTATGAACCTAACCTGACTATAACTGGCAGAAAGCAAATCTGTTACATTATTGGCCATTGTTGGGTACCATTATATTTTCAGTGCAGGTTAATGTATAGTTAAACTTTTTCTTTGTTTTCACATGCTGATATAAATTATTACAATGTCTATCACATTTTTTTTTACTAGAATCCTATACTTCATACTATCTTTTACTCTACTTTTGTTTACTTGCTGAATAATTAAGCAATTATTTTAATACACATAGCTCCTATTTTGCTCATTATAGACTTGGAGCTTGGTGATGAGTTATTTTCTTATAATCTGTGTTGACTTCCCATGATGCTTTGTTTGTGTTCTCACACAGCTGCTCTGCCTCAGTGAAACTCTGTGTGATATCAGCTCGCATCTACTTTCTAAAGAGAAACAATTAGAGGAAAGTCACATGATCAACAAACTGTGAAAAGCATTTTGTTCTGTGGGTCATTTATCTTAATTTCAAGATAACGCTGTATATACACTTGGCTCAGAGGCAGTGGTTGCTAAAGTACACTTCAGGGTACATCAGTAAACCTTTTCCAAAGCAGGCAGTGTATCACACTGTTACCTATGTAGAGATGTTTGAACACCGGATATGGTGAGGGAAGGAGACAGAGATTCTGTAATCCTGTGCTTTCGTGGCCGGATTAAAATCCCATGTTGTGGTTGGGGGAGGGGTTGACTGGGGTGGAGGGAGAGGCGGGGTGGATTAAAGCCGGCAGATCTACTCTTTGCACAGCTGTGTCGCTGTGGGAGGGGCTTGCTGGATGCAGAATGGGAGGAGCCTGTTTTATATAACTCTTAACACTAGGGTGTTTGAGCTGCCTATGCATCTTGACAGCTTTGATTTTTAAACAGATGAAAAGGACAACCCAAACATTTCTTCTGAGCTTTTGCAGTTGGGTTATGTAATGTAGCTAGAACACTCATGTTTGTAGGGGCTTCTTGGTTTTCAGCCATGCTAGCAGTGCAGCTCACGGAGGGATTGGTGTTGAATGAATTTATCTCAACATCTACTGGATGGATTGGCTCAAAATTTGATACGGACATTCTTGGTCCCCAATGGATGAATTGTAACAATTTCAGTGATCCTCAGACTTTTCATCTAGCACCATCATCAGTGTGTCCCATATATTGTTTCATGATCAAAAACCTACAAAACTAATGAGCCATCAGCTTCAGACGCACTAAACAAAAGTTAGCATGCTTACATGCTAAACTAAGGTGGTGAACATGGTCAGCATTATACTTGCTAAACATCAGCAGGTTCATTTTGAGCATGTTAGCAAGCTCACGATAGCATTCAGCTCAAAGCAACTGTGCTGCCAGTACAGCCTCACAAACCTGCTGGCATGGCTGTAGACTGTTGTTGCCATTTATTTGCAAGACTGCCTTGATGTAAAATTAATTTATTCTATGTGCAGTGATTATTCATTTCCAAAATCTTCATGTAAAATGAGGCCCCTGGGAGAAGAATATTTATATATGTACATAAGAAAGTACTGCATCCAGTAGCTTGCCCAAAATTATTTAGACTCAGGCGTGAAGCAGCTTAAATTGCAGCCCCAAAATGTGCATAATCCAGTCAGCACCTCAAGTCTACTGATTTAGCGTGAAGCAAGGTGGTAAGGGCACATTCATTTAAGGAGAAAGACAGACCAAAGGAAAAATGAGAGAGAAAAAAAGGTCCTATTAGGCTGACACATGCTGCTTTAAGGAGGTGGACGACCGCTGAGGGACTACGTACGAGCACAATCTGCACACGCTGAGTTTCTGCACATTGCTGCAGCGGGGTGTCCAAACCATGAGCAGTGTGAATGAGAGAAAGGAGGAGGAAAAGAATGGGAATGTAGGGTCAGGCCCCCTTCAGCAACACTTACTTATGTAAGTTTCCTTACATAATGACACATTCAAGTGCTGTGTGTGTGTGTGTGTGCGTGTGTGTGTGCGTGTGCGCGCCTCCGTCTAGACAAGTGAGACAACTCGACTTTGGGTGGGGTCAGAGAAACAAGAGGAGGGGTACTCAAGCAAGATGCAACAGCAGGAGAGGATTGTGGGATTATGCGTGTGTGTGTGTGTGTGTACAGTATGTGTGTGTGTTATCAATGGGGGGGGGGTTAGGAACGGAAGGTATTAAAGCCAGAGCGGAGGGAGGGGACTGACGAGCATTGAACGCATGTTCACATCTGTGTATGCGATCCAGCTTTCTACCTCTCTCTGTCTCTTTTCATGTCTTTCTGAACTTATCTTCACATCAGCCTCTTTCCTTCCTCTTGAATTTATCCCCTCATCTTTCCTCCTCCTCTCCGCTCCTCTTTTCCTCCTCATCTCTTAATATCCCCTGATCTTAATCCCACTCTATTGTCGCTCTCTTTGTGTCTCTTCTCTCATTCTCTGTCCTCAATCACCCCTCTCTCTCTCTCTCTCTCTCTGTCTCTCTCTTTCTCCTCTGTACTCTCTCTGCCTTTCTCTGTTTTTTTGGGAGTTCAGCGGGTCAGCAGTGCCAGACAAGACGATTGGAGGACAGAAGACATAGTTGCAGAACTACTGGTGGTTTACTAGTGGTTAGCCTTAGCATACTTGTGGCAGCAGGGAGGAAGAAGGAGGGCTTGGCGATGGTCACAGCTATGGAGGAAGCCTGTCCCAATGGGGTACGGGAGGAGGAGGAGGAGATGACGCCCCCGGGACAGCCTGGCGTGGAGGGGCCCCCGGCCGTGCAGTCCACCCAGGAACCAGATACGTCTGGAGGTGAGGAAAGAAGAAGGAAAATGTGGGGTTTCACGTATTTAGATGAACGGAGAGGTGCTTTCATCTTTGATTTTGTCTTAGACGGGAGGGATCGATAGAAGGGTTTTACGAAAAATTGCTAATCAGATATCAGAAGGCAGCATTAGTTGTCAGGTAAAGTCTACTCAGGGAAGTGGTTGTTTTATCTTTAAATGTAGATGATCTGATGATCCTTTAGAGCACTGGTTCCCAATCTTTATTGTCTGATGTATCTGCAAAGCCCTGTCAGATGACCTTAAGTTCCCCTTCATCATCATGTTCACTTAAAATCATTTTAAACTACATGTTATTAAATATTACTCATTATATACAACAGTGTTATGGTTGTTTTGGTCAGGTTTCCATTTGTACTACTACTAGCACTTGGTGGTGGCAAAAACTAAACATTTGAACCATTATTTAAACTATTTATCAACTATTATTACTTTTAGCTAAATGTTCAGACCTCTCTGTTCCCTTACTAACTAGTTAGTTTTCATGCACTCTTAAATGCAACAGGTGACCCAATATATAGATTTTCTTTCGAGTCAAAATGTAATTTGTATTTTATCACATTAGTGGTTGGTTCAGTTCTTACCCTGCACTGCTGAAAAAATACATTGAGATATGTTTTGTCAAAGGCGATGTTACTTCTGTGCCAGTCTAGGTGTTCCTCTGATTTTCTTTTTGTGAGCTACTAAAAAAATAATAACACACATAATACAGGTTGCTAGGTCTTTTCTCGTGGGATTCGTGTCGCATTCCTTGAGAAACAGAGTTAGGAATTCTTAAGCAGGTAGTCTCTGCATTGGCATTCACCGCACATAGTGCTGGTAGGTGTTCATACAGAGCCGGTGGTTAGATGGTGCGAGAGACTGCAGACAAACCGGAGTGGAGGGAGGAATTAAAAGCAGGTAAGCAGGATGATTCATTATGTAGATGAATGAAGCAGCTGGGGAAAAAAAACACACCTCTGTAACTGTCCAGTGCGGTAATCTCTTCGCTTTTACAACTTCTTCAGGCCAAGCTTAGCAAGAGGCTGGTAGGTGGTTGTATCTCCATGCCATATTTCATAGGATTATAAAGACTTTTGGTTGGGCTTTAGTTCGTCTCCAATCTCTCACAGGGTAGAAAAGTATCTCAAGGTTATTTGTTGGGATGAGTAATGTACACAGTGCATGTGGCAGAGCAGGGTGGGGGCTGGGGGTTGGACGGGCTTTGATGAGCAAACATTCCTGTGGTCGAGGACGCGGCGACACAATGAGTTGACCAAGTGGGTAAAGGTCAAAACTTAGAAGTACGGGTTCCAGCTGCAAGTGTTTATGTTGGTTTGTTTGTGAGGTTTTGCAGACAGATGACTTCAACTGTGAGTGAGCTCAGTTTAGTTAAGTAGTTTAGTTTAGCATATGCTAGTGCTAGTCTCTCTCATGCATCTTTCACAAAAACAGGGCTGCATTGCACATTTGAGAAACCCGTACAGGTTTGAAAGTTCTGAGAATTGGAAACATTATTCTCCACATTTCAGGAGGTTGAACAATGACTAAGTGTGAGTGTGAGTGCTGTGAGTGAATGATTGAGTGACTTGAGTGTAGTGCAATCAAGGTGGTGCTAGTTATGTGTGTGTGCTTGTGTTTGGATGTGTTTACTACAAATACAGCCCTGAGACTTTGTGTTTATTCTAGTTTGTGAAACAAAGTGTGGGGTAATTGAATATCCTGTCCACACATTCCATATAACGGAACTGAATTTCAGATTGTGTATATGTGTTGTCATGAAGTAATATGGATATGGAAATTTAACAGTATGCAGTGCAGACC